ACCATCAATTCCTGGGGTAAAGAAATCCTCCTTCCTTAACCTTCTGAGTAGCTGGGACTAAGAGGCATTTGTTACTGCACCTGGATTACACAATAATTTTAATTACAGGTTCACCATACCTCCTCATTTGATAAGTGGACTGAAGAGTCTTCTTGAGTTAAAGCACATACTACTGGTACTTTGACTTCTTCTTCAACATCTGTTTTTTTATGGTCTTTTCTCTTATTAAGTTTTTGTTGTTCATCATCTTCCTAAAAGTTAGGAAGAAAAAAACATACACATTACCCAGGTAACCTGTACTGATAAGTCATACAGTTCTTTAATTACACAAAATAATTAAAAAAAGAAGTGAGAACTTTATTTGTTGTTTGTTTTTTTGAAATAAGGTCTCAGGCTGGTCTCAAACTCACAAGCAATCCTGCCAATTCAGCCTCCCAGTGCTGGGATCACAGGAGTGTGCTACCACGCAAGCTCAGAGAGTTGAATGATAATAGAAAATTGAACAATTAAGCTTATTTGTTTTGTGACCACATTTACAGGCCTGAGGTCATGATAAAATATTTTAATACTATAAGCACAAATTAAGAAATCTGCTATAAAGAAGAAATCAGGAAGCAGCATCCAAGAAGAAAAAAACACTGTACGAAAGTAAGTCAAAGCAAAAGAAAACTGGAGAGAGGGGGAGAAAACTTCCAGGTGTAGTGGCACACACCTGTAAATCTAGTATTTCCGAAGCAGGAGGATCACTAAGACAGCGGCACCACTAAATCCCCGGTCCTGTTTTAAGGTTTTTTATATATAAAGCTTTATCTCAGTCAGTTCTCAGAAAATAAACAAAACACCATATGAAATGGGCAGTACAGAATTATCTAAATTGATGTAATAATTCACTCAAGAAGATAAGCTAAACTATGCCTAAGACAGTCTAGTGAAGAGGGACAAACACACTGCAATATATGTCGAAAGTTCTACAGGATGAGAAAAACAAAGACCTATTTCATCTGAGGAAACCAGCAAAGGAAGCCAAATACGGTAACACTTCAGCTGAATCTTGAATGAACAGTGAGATGAGTTTGCCACTTGCATAAGAAGAGACAGAGGGTCTAAGGACAAAGGAAGAAGGCAAGCACAAAAAGACAGAGATCTAGAAGAGCAGGCTTGTGGGCCAATACTGAATAATTTACTGTGACTGAAAAGTGTACAGGTGCATCAAAGTTAGGGACACAGAGAAAGGGGCAATGATTACATGCTTAGCCTCTGGAATCAGAGACTGGCTCAAACCTCAGAGGGGCCATTGCTTTTCTCAGCCTGTTTCCTAACCTGTAAAAAAAGGAAAAGTTCTGTAATGCCCATTTCATGTGATTTTTTGTTGTTTTCTGAGAACTGAGTGAGATAAAGCTTTATATATAAAACTTTAAAACAGGGCTGGGGATTTAACTCAGTGGTGCCGCTGCCTGCCTCTCAAGCACAAGGACCCAAGTTTGATCCCCAGTATCAAAACCAAAAAAACGTTAACACAACAGTAGCAAGCATACAGTAAATGCTAATAAAGGCCTTAAACAATCTTAGTAAGGCTCAGATTATTTTCAAGGGGCAGCAAAAGATTCAGGATAGAAGGTCTGACCTTTAGAATCTAAACTCTTAGGACACTGTCTATCCACAATGATGAATGAGTCTGAATTAAGAGACAAAAAAGAATTTTTTTTAAAAAAAGATAGAGTCTCACTATAAAGTTCAGGCTAATCTTGAACTCACTATATAGCTCACACTGGCTCAAACTCATGGCAAGCCTCCTGCCTCAGCCTCCCAAGTGCCGGGATTACAGGCATGCACCACCATGTCTGGCTTTAAAACTTCTGTAAAAGAAAATCTAAGTCACATAAGGCAATTTAAAATATTTCTTAAAATACACAAAAAAGCAGTGAACACTTTTATGCAGCTATTCTAAGGATATTTTGACACATAAGTACAGCTTGGAAAAAATATTAGCAGCAACACTCCTTTAGATGACAAAAGGAGAAAGGATTTAGCTGCCCATATAAGGAAAGATTAAATCCATTGTAATACATCCATACTTCCAAATAGCAAAACTCTGATATGAAAATAATCCAGGATTACTGTTATGGGAAAAATAAGTTATAGTATCAGTATTTATGGTATTGTATAAATTGTATGGGGCAAAGGGAGCAACCCTAAATGTATGCCATAAACATATGGAACTTAAGGCAGGAGGACTACTGCAAGTTTGAGGCCAGCCTGGACTACAAAGTAAATTCAAGGCCAGCCTGAACTGCATAGCAAAACCCTGTCTCAAAAAGACCAAAAAAGAAAAAAACAAACATGGGGACCGGGTCTGGAAGACTCTAACAAACTAGAAATGCAGCTATTTCTGGGAAAGAGAAGTGTGGAAGATAAAAAGAGGGATTTTCATTCAATCACTTTATACTTCATTATTTCATTCTGTATTTAAAATAAGCAATATTTAATGTGACAATACATTTTTGTGTTGATTCTGTAATTTTTTTTTTTGGCACCAGGAATCGAACTTGGGACCTTGTGCTTGCGAGGCAGGCAGTGGAACCACTGAGCTAAATCCCCGGCCCTTGATCACATAATTTTAATTTTAAAAAGATAAACAGTATATTGGGTATGAAGCATTCTGAATATCTGTCTTCATATCACTCAGCTTCTCCATCTCTATTCTGTCATCTTCTAAGCAGGCTCTTAGAGCAATGTCACCAAAAACTTTGGCCTAGACAGACACAACTCAGGAATCCAAGGAGAACTATACAGCACCATAGAGAAAGAGTTTCTCAGAAATAATGCACTTATGCATCCTACATCATTTTTAAAGTTTTTTTCCCCCAAAGATAAAGTCATTTGTAAAGTTGAAAAACAAAATCCCTCAAATGTAGCTTTTAAGTTTTGTTTTGTTGTTTTATTTTTGGTTTGTTTGTTCAGTGCCATGGATCAAACTCGGGACCTTGCGCTGCAAGGCATGAGGTGGAAGCACTGAGCTAAATCCCGGCCCTTAGCTTTTAAGTTTTTTAAAATAATATTTTTTAAAAGTCCAGGAGCGGCGATCACCTGGCGGCTGCGCGCGAGCTCCCGGCCTGCGCGACAACAGATCCAGGAAGGAAGGTAGCCAAGCGGGCGCCCTTGAAACACCCACACGACAACCCCCCCGTTCTCAAAACTCCTCATCGGGCCAGTCCTTAGACCAACTCTGCAGAG